ACAAAATTTCTATGAGAGATTTTTTGAGCATTTATATGACTCTGCATACTGTAACACACACAGGCTGTCTGAGAGATTTTTTTTGAGCATTTATATGACTCTGCATACTGTAACACACACAGGCTGTCTGTGCACACATCAGAAGTTTCAGGGCTGCAGAGATGACTCCGTGGTTCGGAGCACCAGCTGTGCTTCCAGAGAACCTGGGTCTGATTCCCAGCCCCCACATGTATATCACCATCATCTGTATTTCCAGCACCTACATCCTCTTCTGGCCTTCATGGGCAGACATTTCACCTACACAGTTCACAAACATGTCAGGCAAACACATATATACATAAATAAGAATAAATAAAACCTCCAAAAATATTTTAAAATCATCGTGCAGATGACCCACAATGCTGAAATGGGATGGTTTTACTGCAGGGTGGCCATCTTGGGTTTAGTACATTAAAACATTCTCTCTAAGATGCAGTGTGTGGCTCAGAGCATGGGCTGAGGATGCACAAGGCTCTGGGTCCATCCTCAGCACCAAGAAAAACATATTCCTAGTAAATTAGATTTAATCTGTTCTTGGCGTTCATTTCTCTGTGAGTCTGGACTCTTGCTCAAGGCTTGGAGGCAGACATAGTATTTCCCCCTCTTTGAGTTGTTTGCTTGGTACCAGCTCGAGAGCCTGACACGGAGTAGGTACTTATTCCGCCTTCACGGACTAAATAACAATTACAATCTAGTGAGAGTCTGCATTGATCTAACTTTTCTGTGTGTGTGTGTGTGTTAATTGTACACCTGAGTTCATGTGCCTGCATAGGCTGCAAGAGGCTTTGGATCCTGTGGTGTTGGAGATACAGGAAGCTGTGAGCTGCCCAGTGTGGTTGCTGGGAAATGTACCTCAGGCCTTCTGGAAGAGCAGTATATACTCTCAACCACTGAGCCATCCTTCAGAAGTTACTTTTTCTTCCTTGCCTTTATTTTCCAAGGCTCAGGAGGTAGGCACCCTGCTCACATTCTGACTACTGCTGCACCTCTTCGGCCTGCTAACTTTATAGTTTGCTATAGCGTGGGATCATTCACCAATACTGATTATTGTTGGTCAGAGTGCAGGCAGGACAGCAGCGGTCATCCCAGCTGTCCATTAAGAGAAATATTGGGATTCGATGAGTTCTTTGCCCAGGTGACAGAAGAGCAGAGCCCCTGCCCTGTTGATGAACAGTCATTGAAGGGACCCCATCTTCCTGTGGCAGGCCTTCCTCATAGGTAGGGCATGGGAATAAAACCTCATGAAAATGGTTTAGGAAGTAATCCTTGCCAGAGTCATTAGGGAAGTGAGGCTGGGCAGGGAAGGAAATCAATAAAGAGTCATGAACAGGGCCAGTTCCCCAGGTGTGCCATAGTGTGGGTCCTGCAAGGGAGTCTGGGTAACATCTGAACTTGCTTCCATCAGATGCAGAAGGCCTGGGGTACATATGTTCCTGCATCCAGTCACTGGGTGAGGGAAGCCCTAAGCAATGTGTGGGTACACGGAGTCCCATCACCTCAGGGCCCCACAGTCTGTGCAAAGCCAGGGAAAAAGTTAGGTGAAGAGCTGCCCTGAGGGGAAGGGCCCTGGAGCCCAGTGCATGACCATGGCTCAGAGTTGCAGGAAACACAACAGGGGCAGGTTAGACTTGGGAAGCAGTGCAGTTAGCCAAGGCCAGAAGCAGGGCCTTTCTAGCAGCAGGTTCCTCTGGGGACTGAGGCTGGCACCAGGGAAGTACTGTGGCAACCACAAGATGAGAGACAGGAGCCGGCTTCCCTGTATTGTTTCCCCTCCAGCACTGTAGGCTGCTGAACTTTCCCAGTGGCCTTGGGGATATTGTCACCCTGAAAGGAGACAGGATGTGAGGCTGGAATGGGTGTCAGCACACAGGGTCATGTTACCCCAGTCTGTCACCATTTGCATGACTACGTGTACTGCCTTCAAGATTATTGTTTTG